TAAATTGAGTTCAATATCACGACAGTTAGTCTAAAATATGGTGCGTGATCTTTTTAAATGAAAAAAGTGAGTATGCTGAGAGCTCTACTCTAACAAATCTGGAATGGAATGAATGGATATAATGTCAAAAGTTCATAGTAAATGGGTATAGAGATTAGCAGTATGTCTTTAACAAGATTTCTAGTCACCCAGGGTAGCATAAGTTGACGAATTTAATTTTTCAAGTGATAGTTAAGCCTCGTGATGTTTTAGTGAGTTATATGTTTCTAAAAATAGGTGCTCGGCTTCGCGCTACTATGTAGATTGTAGAGAGAAACTAAACTGAGTAATAGGGTAGCTTGAATGGAGCAAGACAAGTCACAGATGTGATTCAGAGTGGAAAAACAGAAACGATCGCAGCGCGTCACATCGATGCGAGAATTCAGACACCTGCGGTTGTGAAGAACAAAATAAGTGGCAAAAATAACAGTTACAGTCCATAATGTCCAAGTATGTTAAATATACTTTAAATTCCATGTTCTGATCAGCTCGACGGGAAGACTCGATGAAGCAACTAAGTTTGTTTGGTCACTGTGGAACACAGTGAAGATGAATCATACTCTGATTGGTGGTGGAGAGATTACAACTTGCTGGCCGGTTGTGATAAAATGTGGAGTCAATACAATAGAATCAGATTTCGTTCAGCCTTGTCACCGAAACGTTATTTGCTGGAATGAAATATCGGAATCGTCAAAGAGACAAATGAAGCCGATCCTTTGACGAAATGTGTGCTAAACAGTTGTGGGCTATTTACATTTTCTATATCCTCGTGTCACGCGGCCACACAATCTTGGTCTTCGATTAAACTATAATAGGGTTATCTATAAGGTAAATTTATATTTTCCATTACAATCATCAACGTTACTTATATTCATATGAAGTAGTTTTAAAGGCTATAGTCCATCATGGATAGGAGGTAAAGCTAAGTGAGCTTATACAATATTTAGCCAGTAAATACGCAGGAATAACGAAGACCATTAAACTTATCAATTCAGAACTTTGGTTTAATGAAAAAAAGTTCGATGTGTTCTGGGAATCTCTGATACCTTGGTTTATTTTCTGGATGGAACAAAAGAAATGCATTAAGATTGTGAAATAATCAAATAATTCCGCAATGGAAAGATAAGTCAGAAAAAATTCTAATTTAGGAGAATATCTGTCCGTAATGTCAAATAAATTGTATATCAGGAAGAAAATATGTGGGACAACCAGTATGAGAAACTACTTACCTCTCCTGGCTAAGCCGCGAAGCCTGGGTCGTGTGAATTCGGATACGCGGGATTCGACGATCCCAGGGCGTAACTAGAATCCAAGCAACTTCGGACTTAGGCTTAAGTTCCGCATTAGACTCGTCACTACTCACTCCGTCAGTAATACTAGAATCAGAGTCTGTGACAACGACATAAGTGCAGACATAGTCCCGCCAGCCCCGGTTGAGAATGCCCACCACAATGCCGGCGGGCACCATGGAGGCTGAGTGATCAGAAGTAGAGGCTTTCATTACAGTCGAGCTATCATTTGACATAGTAGGATCGCCAGCAGACTCGACTCGACCACCGCCTTCGGCAGCCAAAGCAAGACCCGTAAATTCAGCTGCATCTAATTGATTGAAAAAATATATGGATTAAATAATAGAAACAGTCATGCATTCCCAAATAGACTTGTGGTAGATTTTCAATTTTCATTAGTTGACATAACCTTGAAACTGACCAAATTTGGGCAAATGACAAATCTTAGCAAACAGAGAATGTGGGTATATGATATCGAGTTGCAGGTTGTCCATATACTTGATAGCCATGTAAAGTAGAAAGAATTATTAAAAAACTAGGAGGCAATCAAGAAAAAGTGTTAAGGACGAACAAGGGAGGAGCAGTGATCATGGATAAAGCTAGTTATGCAGAAAAGATAATGCAGACACTAGATGATACCTCAGCGTACAAGATTATCAATAAGTATATTAAATAAGCCCTGAAGTCTAGACTCATGGGCTTCCTGCAACCTTTTGTAACAACTGGGAAGTAGAGAAGTAGAAAATGAATACAATTCTTTAACGATATGCGAGGTCCCAGAATAAATATGGTCTGCCCAAGATACATAAGGAAGGAAGCTTATTCAGAAATATCGCTAATAATAAGGGTAGCGTGATGTCAGCAAATAGAGCAAATCTCCGAGTCATGGCACTTTTTAATAAGGAACTCATGAATTCGTTCAGTTAGCCGATAAATGGAGGTTTGCTTGTTAGTTTTGATGTAGATTCAATGTACACCAAAATTCCTGTAAGCGGAACTAATTAGGCTCTAGAAATAACTTTGGACCGAAACTCAGATATTATGAAAAATGAAAATTTAAGTAAGGAGTCAATAAGGAAATTGACGAATTTAGGGATGGGTTGTACATAATTTACTTTCAATAGCAAACCGTAAGGACAAACACGTTGTTTAGCTATGGGATCATGTTGGTCCCCAAATTCTAGCAAATAATTCCACAGCTCGATCAGAAAGTCGCTTAATACAAAAAGCACTTTTAGTTCATAAATTATGGTTAGGTACATGGATAACTACTTTGCCTTATGGCAACATGGGATCGATGGGAATATTAACTTCACCATTAAACTAGAAACGGATGATAGTTTACCTTTTATAGACGTCATAGTCAATAAAGGGAAACAAACTGAGTAGAAATGTGTGAGATCCACAAATGCCATACTGATTGGGTCAAAGTGGGAGTTATAAAATCCATGATGAAAAGGAGCCTGTGTCTTGCAGAGGTTAGCCATCAGAAGCAGGAAATGAA